GAATGCTGCATCACCCTGGCCCCTGTGCCCAGGGACCCTCCAGCCACCTCTGCCGAAGCGCAGCAGCAGCACGTCCATGTCCCCCGCAGACTCAGGGACCTTCCTGCCCCAGGGAACAGGAGCAGCAAAGCTCATCCCACCAAGGTGTGCCAGCCTGGAGGAAAGCTAGGCTGGGCTCTGGCCAAGAGCATCCTGCCTGCAGCTCCTGCCTGTGTGGGCATGAACCCCTCCCAGGTTCAGCACTGCAGCTGGGAGGGTTTTTCCTTACAGCTAAACATGGTCCAACAAAAAGTACTTCTGTTTAGGTTTGGTAAAGAGAACTCGGGGTAAAAAGGGGAAATGGGGAGCATGGTCCCATGCAGAGGGCTGGATCTGAAAATAAGACCCCAGCCCCACCTTCCCTTCTGCACCCAGTTTCTGTCTGGGCGAGCAATATTGCTGTGGGAACGAATGGAAGTGGTTTTCGGCTTGTATCAGTGTTAGCCAGCAGAGCATTTCTTGAGGGAAAGCATTCAACTGGCTTCTAACTGTGTTGTGGTACTAAAAACATTACATATTACACTGTCATTAGTGGACAGCTTTTGCTCTTCAAATTAAACAAATAGTTTAAAGCTGCTGAAAATTGCAACCAGATTTTTTTAAAGAAGAATTGGGGAAACAAATATGAAATTGCAGCTGCAGACCCAAGAGGCAGACTATTTCTTAAAACTCAGTTGCCCTCGCCCCCTTGGAAAGGCTGACTGGGGGTGGCATGAAGCCTGTACTGGGAGTGCAGTTGGGGCCTGTGGTGCGAACTGGAGCCAAGCACTGGGCTTTAATGAGGGCCCAAGACCCCTGCGCATCCGACTGCCTGGCCGTTAATTGTAGCGCTGCTGCTCGCAGCCGCCTCTTTTCCTTTCCTTTGGTAGGAGCTGGCCTAGCGGGAATGTTTGTTTAACCAGCATTTGCCTTCCGCAGGTCCCACAGGGGATCAGGGAGCTTGTGAGGGATGGGGAGAACAATGCTGGCACTCTTCCCATCCAGCCTGATTCATTAAGCACGCTGCCCAGCCTGGGATTTATCAGAAACACGGGTTTCCCGGCTCCGCAAGCTGGTGCGGCACAGTGCTGCAGCACCTCGGGGCAGGCTGGGCTCCATGCTGGGAAGGATGCCCAAACTCTGCAGCTCCTGGGCTGCTTTTTTCTTCTATGGGCCTGAACCCCGGCCGCACCCCTTGCGAGCGCGCCTTTGGGGTGATCGGGAAGGCAGCCCCGTGCAGCCCCCGGCCCGGCAGCACTGGCGAGGGCAGCTCGGGGCACGCGTTTCGGGAGAACTTATGAGTTCTTCAAAGTGCCTGAACAGACTGGAAGGCATCTTGGTTCAAGTAAACAATGTGTGAGAGATCTGAAGACAACCTTGCTAAATTTTGGCTTGAAGATCAACTTGACCAGCTTCTAGGAGCAATGCTGGATGTCAGCCATTCTCGGGATAGTTCAAAAAGGATTTGGGCCAAGAAGCTTTTAGTGCATAACTGACTCGCTCCAGTGATTTCCTTCTGAAAGCAGGCTGGAAACTTGGGATTGTTTTTAATATTGTTATCCTGAAGTGGATGGTCCAATAATAGGAGGAAGTTCAGAGCATGTTTTCATTAAGCTGTGCCTGGAGAAGTTATGAAGTAGATGTTCAGGGTCCTTGGGAAAAGTGAAAAGAACAGATCATAAAATATCTCCAGAATCCAGTAGTTAACAGTGAAAACTTAAAATGCTCTTCCTCAAAATTATCTGTGCTAAGGCAACATAGTAAAGCATTTGGCCTATGCTGCATGGTAGCAGCAGAAGAAACAACTTTTTATGATCCTTCATTTCAGTTTTTGGTGTCAGGTTGAATTTTTTTTCCCTGATTTAGTCTCTGGACACACTTTATGGCATCTGCAATTATAACTTGAAGCATTCCCCTGATCAGGGAGTGAAATCCCACCACAGGTCTGGGCAGATACTGAAACCTGCCACTGACCAGTCCAACTGTACTTTTAAGAGAGGCTTGAGACTTTGCTCTTCTCCCTCGCTTTCAGTGCGGACATCTTGTATTGGCAGTGGAGAGTCTGGTGCTGGAGTGGAACAAGAGGCTTCAGATGCTCGTGCTGGCACAGTGCCATTCTCGTAGCTCTGGTATAAGTGTTCATGAGTCTTGGCACGTTTGTAGTGGATTAAGAATTTATTCCATTAAGATCCTACCGTGTTACTACTCTGCTAGCGCTCTTGCTGTGGCTGAGCCAAGACAGTGCAAACTGCATAGTGTACACTGTCTCAGCGTTCATGGATGTGCAGCATGGAGGCTTTGGTTGCTGCTCTTTCCAGTTGTCAGGTTTCACTGGCAGTATCCTTATTTTGTGGGACAGTGCCTGTGTGAGGCCTGGGAGGAGCTGTCAGGGAATTCTGGTCTCTTGCTTCTGTAGTTCCTATTAGGATTTCGCATGTCTGTGAAAGCCATCTGTGCACCAGATCACTCCTGCAACATCCTGCAGCTCTCTAACCAGCCATTCCTCAGCAGCACCTTCTCCCACAGGGCGACAACCCTCCCTCAGTAAACTTCTGGATATCAATCTTACCCTTTGCATGGAGGCACAATATACTGAGTGTTGATGTCTAATGTCATAATGTGCAGTGATGTTAACATGTGCTTCAAGAAAGAGACGAAGCCCTGCCTCCTTTAAATCATTTTTCTATTGCTGTTGCAAATCTTCAGGCAGGAATCTTGCCCTGCAATGCTGCTATCTGGCCAAAAGCAGCTGAGGTGAAAGCAGACTCCTTAGAGATGTGTTGTCTTCAATGTTGTGCAAATGTTTCTGTATTTGAAAGGCCATGCTGAACTAGACTACGTACAGTAAACAAACAGTTAATTGCTTCTCGCCTTTTTTAAAATTTGGTTTTCAATGCTGACCAAGTAAGAAACAAATTTAAAGAACAGCTGGATGCTGTTCTTTAAAACAGAATGGCAGAGCGCCAACTGGCTGCCCCTTAGCTCTTCACACTACAATAGGAAAAATGCTTTGAGTGGGAAACTCCCTTCCCCTTAGCACCAGGCCAGAAGTTAACTCTACAGACCCCACTGTCCTGCAAATGCTAATTTAGCATGGGACAGACCTCTCACAAGATCAGTTTACTCTGCATTGAAGATAGTGGCTTAGTGGCCAGTTGAGTAGGAGACTTCATTTTGGATAGTTTCTTGACATTTACTTTCCATGTTGCAGGGCATCAGTGACCAAACACCTTCCCTCTACTGCAAAATTAATAGTTGGGTAGAGTTGGTGGCTGTCAGTGTTACATACAGACTCAACTGCTATCTGACTACTTTTTCCTGTATTAAGATTTTTTTTTTTAATCGATAAAAGGGGATCCTTTGCTGCAAACTACTCTGCATGCAGCCCATGAGGGCTATGAGGTGCTCTTGGTGCAGCCTCTGACCTGCTTGCCGGAGCTCTCCCCATCCTGGCGTGAGGCAGGAGGAAGCTGGCTGATCTTGGGGTTTGTTTATGGGTTTCTGGTTTTTTCAGCAGCCTTGTTGTCAAATTACCTGGACTAGTGGCATGCTAATGCAGTGAGGCTGGGTGTGTTGGGGTCTGGGTGCAAACTAAGAGAAGCAAGTCTTTGCTGCTCTGTCTTTCTAGGGGGTCTGTTTGGGTTTTTAAAACAAAACCAAAAACTACCCAACCTGTTTTCTGAGGATGAAATGATTAACAATAGCCTGGCTGCTACTTGCATCTGAGCAAGTTCAGCCTTTTATTTCTGAAGTGTAAGGTTAGAACAACTCAAAGGGGAAGGGGCACATTTTCTGTCACTGCTCTTCACATGAGTGGAGCATCTGTTTGCAGAAGCAGCAAAGAAAGCTCGTGCTTCCCTACTGAAGGCATCTCAGAGTAACTGTTGGTGCTCTCTCCATCCCAGGCCATGCAGTACATGGAGCTGATCCCGAAGGAGATGCAGCCGGTGGCGGGGACGGATGGGGCATACTATCGCCGGCGGCAGCTGGTGAGGCAACTCCCGCTGTACGACCAGGACCCATCCCAGTGCTGCGGCCTTGCGGAGGGCGAGCTGAAGCTGATGGAAGACTTTGTGAAGAAGTACAAAGCCGAGGCGCTGGGTGTTGGGGAAGTGGCGCTGCCGGGCCAGGGCGGCAGCGGGAAGGAGGAGGGGAAGCCGCAGGACAAGAGCATCGCTGCCAGCCAACCCCCCGAGTCCACCAACGGGGCCCCAGAGCATGTGCCTGAGGGAGGGCACTATGTAAGTGCTGCGCTCTGTGGTGGCGGGACGGGCTGGCAGGGGTGTCCCAGCTCTGCTCTGAGTTTGGGGAGCTTTCAGGGAACAGCTTCAGCCTCAACTCGAGGTGGGTAAAAAAGATTGCACCAGCCAGGGTTATCTGTTCCTTGTTCACAATACTGCTTCTGTGGGCTTCTCCAAGCCTGCTGCAGTGCTTTTTCAAACTACCGGAGCAGTGCCGTGATGCTCAGTTGTGTTGTGGCGTGCTTTGGTACAGCAGTGTGAACAACCCCAGTGGGACCGCTCTCGTGCTCCTGCCAGCCCTGCTGAGCACAAGTCTCCATCTCAGGGGTGAGGAGGGATGGGTTATCTCTTCACCATCTCCCTCCCTCCACAGCAAAAGCTGTGCTGAACCACCAAGGTCAGTAAATTTTCCAGTAGCTGCAGGAGCCAGTGATTTCAGCTTTGGATTCTTGGCAGCTCTGAAAGATTGGGCATGACATGTCCCTGGATGACTGTGCATCAGTCAGGTACTCAAGATCAGAAACCATTCTGCTGCGAGCTAGTGAGTGTTTCCAGCTAGGTTTCCAGACCAGTGCGAGTGGAAAGGCCGCAAGTGACGGGGTGGTGGCTCAGTCTAATTAATGCAAAGCTGTGAACATGGAGGTAGTGCTGCCAGGGCTGTAATCACGCCAGGGGACTTTGAACAGACTATGCCTGTCTCTGGGCATAAAAATACATTTCCATGGGGAAATGACTGACATTCCCCAACGCCCTTTTAGATTTATATTCTCCCGTCTGGAGTGGCCATTGTTGCTGAACAAATGCTTATTGTAAAATATGGTGAGTGAAAGTATTTCATAGTGGCCCTTGTGAGGGTGACTTGCAGCAGGGGACTTAAAGATGGGGAAAAAAATGGTGTCTGAGTGTGTTTAAGGCAAGATCTTTCTAGCCATTACTGCACTGAGATTGTAACATGTTAAGAGCAGTTTTCATTTTCGTTCCATATTGGGTAATGTCTGCCCTCTGCTATGGCCTTTTCTGTTAACATGCATCTGACTTTGAGAGTCCGGTGATACAGTAGAAGTTTTTCACTACTAAAACAAAATACTGAATTGGACAAAGACTTTTAGGCTAAAAAAATAGCCAAAAAAAGGTTTCCATTAAACTCATTAATGAAAGTGATCTTAGCAATGAGGGTTTATTTAGACTGCAAGTTTGTCCTTCCAAATAAATACATAACTCTGATGTTAGTCTCTATAGTTTAAAGCATCATTTTTCTAGAGGCACTAGCTGAAAAATGGAACTGCTTCAAAAGCAGTTGCAGGAGATCCACTTTGACCAACATGCTGTGCAGCTTGGCTTGTAGCAGACTGAAGTAGTGTAGTTTCTTGCTGTACTGAAGAGCAGACCTCCTGTTCGCCCTCTAACAAAACACGACCAGTTTTAATTTGACCTTCTGTACAGGAATTAATGCAGCTGACCTGATACAAATGGACTGTGCCCCAAGATCTGAAATGTGCCAAACTTCCAGAAGGTCTACTGGATTTCACAAAACTGCACTAGAAGTAAAGTTCTGCCATAGAAAAATGACATCATACAATCATATGGTTGGAAGGGACTTTTCAAGGCCATCTAGTCCGAACCCCCTGCAGTGAACAGGGACATCTTCAACCACAGCAGGGTGCTCAGAGCCCTGTCCAGCCTGACTTGGGATGTTTCCAGGGATGGGGCAATCCGCCACCTCTCTGGGCAACCTGGGCCAGGGTTTCAGCACCCCCATGGTGAAACATTTCTTCCTTATATCTAGTCTAAATCTCCCCTCTTGTAGTTTAAAACCATCACCCCTTGTCCTATCACTACAGGCCCTACTAAAAAGTCTGTCCCCATCTTTCCTATCGGCCCCCTTTGAGCACTGGCAGCTGCAGGAAGGTCTCCCCAGAGCCTTCTCTGCTCCAGGCTAAGCCCCCCCAGCTCTCCCAGCCTGTCCTCCCAGCAGAGCTGCTCCAGCCCTCGGAGCGTTGCTGGGGCCTCCTCTGGCCCTGCTCCAGCAGGTCCATGTCTCTCCTGGGCCGAGGGCTCCAGAGCTGGACGCAGCACTTCAGGGGGGTCTCCCCAGAGCGGGGCAGAGGGGCAGAATCCCCTCCCTCGCCCTGCTGGCCACGCGGCTTTGGGGGCAGCCCAGGACTCAGTTGGCCTTCTGGGCTGGGAGCACACATTGCTGGCTCATGTCCAGCTTTTCATCCATCATCACTGCACTTTGCAATACATGTGAGGCTGAAATTAGATGTGAGCAAAATGAAGCCATGTGAAGACCAAGAATGGATGTAAAGGGGCTGAGAAATGAAGTGCATGCAGCCAACAACACTGGAGGCTTTAGTGTTGTTGATGTGTTCAGGGTTGAAATGTAGACAGCACACTCCAGACTTGGAGGTTTAGGTAGCTTTCTACTTGTGTGACTATCTCCTATGTGTCTCCTAAAACTTGGTTGTTAAACATGATGCCTTCTCCTAAGCCTGAGGAAGCTCCCCTGAGCCTCCCTCCAGTGCTGCTCTCTGGGATGCTGCAGGTGATGCTGGCAAGTGCCACCAGCCTGCCCAGGGCCACTCCAGGGCATGCTGTCCTCAGCCAGGAGCATTTGTCCCCAGCTGGGAAAGTCCTGCATGACTGCAGCAGTGAGGAGAGCTTTTTAAGAAAATGAGAGTGCTTTTGGTTCAAGGGTGTAGGGGGAAAATACGGTGCTTGAATAGCTTATTTTTGAGATTCTGATTCTCAAGCAGTTTGTGTGATGTTTCTTCATTGAGTCCATTAGAATTAGGACACAGAAGTTTGTTATTCAACAGAATCAATTCTTAATCAGCACCAGCTGCTTGATTTCACCCTATTTCAGATCAAGGTGTGAGTCTGAACTATAGATTTAGGAAGGGAGGGGTGTCAACTAACAAAAAAACACTACCATTGCTCTAGAAGAGGACGAACACAGAAAGCACCAAAGCTGCACCAAGAAACAAGCTGGAATGACTTCTTTGGGTGTCTGTGTGGTCCCTGTGCTAAGCTGGTTGAACCTCTTACTGCACACCCAGGCCAGCTGTGTTGAAATTGGTGTGTGAAGGAAAACATACAGGGCTGATGTAAATCGCCATGAGAGAGGCAACTGAGCTCAAACAGCTCTTTGAACTGCAGAGAGGGGCCCCATCACTGCAATAAGCCTGTCCTACAAGCTGAATGTTCTCCATCAAGCATAAAATCATCTTTAACCCCCTCAGAACTGGAAAGTCTTCTGGTGTTATAAGCCACTGTGTTGGAATCAAACCAAATCCTGAAGCAGCTGATCAAAATTAGCCATTGTCCCAAAAAGCCTGAGGCCAGCAATGCAGTGAGTGCTCAGGGGAAGCCTCATGTCTGGGGAGCTCCTTCTGTGGGAGCTGTCTTTTTCAAACTCGCTCTCTCCACTGGCTGCTATTTTGCAAAGCTTAGGAGACAGGGACGCTTTCTTGGCCAACACCTCTGGTAACTCCACTAATAAAGTCTTCATTCCTTTCCCTAAATGATGGAGAGGGAGTACCAGGTTGTAATCCCATCTTAAATTTGAAGAGCCACTTATTTAGTGTGTAAATGGCAGGGGGGTGGAAGTTATATGATGCTTAGGGAAAGCCCTGTGAATAATTGCCATAGAAAGAAACAGCAAAGTAAGTTGTTTTTTTAACAGTTCTTACTGGCAAGAAACTTGAGCTTGGAGTCAGAAAGCTGTTCGTGTTTGTTCCTGCTGGTAGATCTTGCAAGATAAGCAGAGCTGGGCTGGATGGGTCTGGCGGTTTCTCTGGGGGTGATGGTGCGGAGGCAGCTGCAGGGTCGGGCTCTCTGGTGCCTTGGGGGGGTATCAGGGGCGCATGATGGGTGCAGAATTCATCGGTGGCCGTCCTCCCTTGCTGACAGCGAGGCCGGTGTGCTGAGAGTAGTGCTCTGCCAGCCGCTCTGCACCGCACGCAGCAGCTCCACGTACTTGTGTTCTTGTTCATACAGACCAGAAATAGCACAGCTTCCGCACCCTGCTGGGCGTGCTCCTTTGTTGGCGTGGGTCTTGGGAGTACTTAGAAATGTGTCTGAAGCCCTTCAGAGTAGAAGAGGCAGACGTATCCCCTTTCAGACTCACAGGAAAGCCAAGCTAGAAAACATTTTGTCTCCTCTTGCCCTGCCTTCACATGTCATATGGGATTTGCCGGTAGAACAGGACATGTGTGTTAGTGTGGTGGAACCCCTTTAAGGACTGCGGGGCAGTCACTGAAAATCCAGACTGAAGGAAGGAGGAGGCAACAGCAAAATGTGTGGTGTGCTAGCAATAATAGTAACAAAACTAAGAAAAGCCACTTGGTGGGTGTAGATAGACCTGTAGCCACGTGCTGTAAAGGGAGAAGTGAGTTTAAGAAAACTCCTTAGATAAAAAGAATAGTCTTTTTAGCACTCATGCCATGAACTAGCAAAAGGGGCTGGACATGGTGGGAAAACTTGTCTGTAGTTTGATACTTGCAGAGCTCATAGAGAAACCCCGGTCCTTCTTTACTGGGGTTGCAGCGCGTCCTGTCCTCCCAGCGCAGCGTTTCCCAGGCTGAGGTGGCATCAGGGTGGTGTTCCTCGGGACACGCACCGGTGGTCCCCGTCCTGTCCCTGATGTCCTCCTGCAGCTCAGGAGCTGTTAGTTTACCTTCTACTGAGAAATGTTATTCTCGTGTCTCTTCTACACACCTCTTAGAAGCTTGTTGACTTAAATTGGAGCATTTGTAAGCAAAGTCATCATCTGAGCGCAGGGAAATTCCTGATCCCCTCCTCGACCCTGTGCTGCTCGGAGCGTGCTGGAGGGGGGACGCTGCTGTGCAAATGCTCTGGTCAGGCACAGCAGCGTAAACCACACAGCGTAAACCCCTACGCGAGCGGTTGCACACTGAATCTTGGTTTTGTAAAAGCCCTAGCCAGGCTTCTGCAGAGATTGCTAGTGGAAATCTGGCCCATCAGCCAAGGGCCCTGCTGGAAGAGACTCCGGCTGCTACTAAGAGCATTTCTTTTAGGGAGTGACAAAGCACAGCTATTAGCCTGACCTGGACTATCCAGACTTAAATGGGAACTTAAATAACAGCCCGTTAGCTTCAGAGAGGAGAGCTTTAAAGCTTATTCTTAACTAATTGCAGGATCACTCTGCACAGATAAAGGGTAAACCCAGTTGGTCTTGTGTGGAATACACATAGATGCTAATTAGTCTTCAGATTAGCCAAATTAATTCTGTCTCTTTGGACTGTTATAAATCAAAAGGACTGTGCTGAAATCTGTAGAGTGACATCTGTCTTATGCAGGAAAAGATAAATTTCCTAATCTTTATGCAAAATAACATCTTTGACATGCTGCACTTCAGCACCATAGGATGTCTTAACTCTTTCTTTGAGAACCTTTGGACTTTAGTGCAGGTTGGTTTTAGCTTGGGGGGGTCCCAAAGGCCAGACTCCTAGCTGATGGTGGTTAGTGCCATTGTTGCCTGCCAGAGGATCCGGATAGAAGAACATTAACAGTATTCCAGGTGAGGGCTGGCAAATACGTATTATAATGACTTTTAATTATATTATGCCTTGATGCTCTGCCCATATGTAGCACTGGTCCAAATGTTTGCGTAAGATCTGGGGTGATAGACTTGGAGATGTTGCTTCTGCTGGCCATGGGTGCCCCGTGACGCTCTCTGCGTTGTCTGAGTCCTACTGCACAATTGAGACATTTTCCCAGCATTTCTGAGCTGCAGCCATTTGGTTTCTCTCCAGTTTAGTTTTCCTTGCTCTTCCACCTCGCTGCACTGTTTCTGTGTCCTCACTCCAGACTGGTGTGTTTGCTGTCCCTTCCAAGCTGACATAGCTGTAAAATCTGGCTTTGGTGTTCTTGAGTTTCCCTTCAGAGAGCAAGAGCTCAAACAAAACCAACCTAAGCCACACAGCTTAGCAGTCCTGGAATTAAATGTTTTATTTCCACTGCCCTCCTTGGTGCTATGGGATGTCAAGCAGGAACACAGTACGTCCTTCAGGCTATTTAGATGCAGGAAGCATTGAGGATGTGCTTGGAAATCGTGTGTAGTTCTGTTTTGCTAACCGTGCTTCTTACCAGCTGTGCGGTTAAGCACGATGCATTGAAAAGATGCCGTGAATCAGTCTGAGAAGTCAATATCCATATCCTGTGCGCTGAGCATCACCGCTTTGCTCCCGCCCGACGTGCGCCCAGCCCCACACTCATGCCACTGCCTCTCCTTTGCAGCGCTGCGAGACCTGCAAGCAGGCAGTGCCGGGGGACTGCCCAGTGGTGTACGCCGACCGGGCGGGCTACTCCCGGCAGTGGCACCCAGCGTGCTTCGTGTGCTGCCGGTGCTCAGAGCCCCTCGTCGACCTCATCTACTTCTGGAAAAACGCCGCCCCCGGCCACGCTGCGCCGGCTGCGACGAGGTAGGGACCGGCTGGCTTCCCTTCGCCCAGTGCTCCCTGCCTGCACTGGGGGCCTGGCACAGCTAATTCAGTGCTTCTCTTGCGTGCCTCTTAACCTGCTTGCCCGCCCATGCCTCCTGGGATGCCCTCTGGGAGCGGCATCCTTCTGGTGCTGGTCGCCAGGGCTGTGGCTGGGGAGCTGGACGTGCCTAAAGAAAATGGGGGTAGAGCAGCGCGATGTCAGTGACAGTCTCGGCTAGCTACGCTGCATCTATCTCAGAGCAACAGCTCTAGTTGCATTTAAAACCTGGTGGTTTTATAGTGCTTAATTGCAGCCCACGGCTTTGGCTTAATTGCTCAGGAGCAGTCCCGTGCCTTTTATTGACCCCTTCCCGAAGCCTGGCCTGCATGGCTAACAGGCTTGGTGGGAGGCGCGGGGGTGGTCCTCCTGCCGTGCTCCGGCTTGGCAAGATGGTGGAAATAAGCAATTGTCTGTGTGTCCTACAGATCATCTTCTCGGAGGACTACCAGCAGGCAGAAGGCATGGCCTGGCACAAGAAGCACTTTGCCTGCCTGGAGTGCGAGACGCTGCTGACCGGCAAACCCTTTGCTCTTCACAACACCAGCCTGCTGTGCACGACCTGCAGCAAAAGCAAACGCCTCTGAGCAGCGAGCAGCCCAGGGCCGAAGTGGGCTGCCCAAGGTCCCACCAGGACTGGGGTCATTTGACGAGTACATGAGAAGGGGAAGGTTAAAAAAAAAATTAGAGCCTGGCTATTCACTTGCAAGCGACTAAGTGCCCCCTTGCATCCAACAAAGCTTCCAGGAGAATATTTCTTTGGGGAGGAAGCAAAGGAAATTCATACGCCTGCGGGTGGGAGGTATGTGGCGTATCTGACTAGGAGGGTCTGAGAAGGAGGTTCTGTGTTGTGCTGTTTTTTATAAAGGCTCTCCAAGCTTCTTATGACTAAGATCTTGCAATAGTCTTTTGGAAATAACGCATCTCAAAAGCTACTTTTGGCATACTAAACCTATGGTCATGGTCAAAAACAAGGGCTGTTAGTATTTTTTGAAATCCATACTGGAAGTTTATGCTAACAGGCTGCTGACAACTGTACTAAAGCAATGGGTTTGAAGAATTTGATTAACCGATGTGGTTACTTTCTGAAAGCAAATGATATGAAATTGCAGCAACATGTAGCTGTAGCTTTCTCCTAAGTGTACAATAATGTAAAAATAACAAGTTGGCACACAGAGCAATTGGTTTAACCCTGGCGAGATGAGAAGGGTGTGCCTCAGCCCATGTGAGCTCCAGCCCTGAAGCTGGAATGCAAACGCATTCCTGGGGGGTCCCACCGACTGGGCTCCCCGGCCTCTCGCCTGCCTCCCGCTGCCCATTGCTGCAGGCCAGTGTGTTTCCACAGAGCAGCATTGTGTTCCGGCTGTGATGCTGGAGGTTGTTAAGCATTTCAAGTATGGGCCTTTATTTTGGCTGGGTTTGACCAGGAATTTTATGGGAAACAGCTTTCCAGCCTAAGCTGTCTTGGGGGGGATGTTGTGCCTGAAGTGCTGCAATGCCAGTTTTTCCCTGTAGTGTATCAGTGACCCCCTCCAAGAAGCAGGGGAGCGTACCTCCCCCTCGGAGCTGGCAGCACCCTTGCCCTGGGCTCTGCCTTGCTCCCTGTCACGCAGCAATCCAGGCCCTAGGGAAGGTCCCCGTCCCCTCTTGGATCTGGTAGCGGTGACATTATTCCATTATAATAATCCCAATAATATCTGCACTGAGACTCTGCGGATAGTATTATCCAAGTGATGCTTCTGGTAGTCACTGAAAATACCAGATGGGTGAGGCTGGCAGATGTCTGTGTGCTCAGTCTTTTTTCTTATATTAAATGTCTACATTATTTGCCACAGAACTGGAATATTTTTTGCAGAGGTGAGTGTGCAAGGAGCTCACAATCAATACTTTTTCTTCCTGCTACAGAAGATGCTGGTTTCTCTTTTAAAGTGCGCTCCATGCTGTGGATGTTTGCTTGCTTATGATAAAATAACTTGCAAATCAGAGCTGGGAGAAACTGTACCTGCTCCGGGCTTAGAGCATGCGAGTCCGGGCCGGGCTCTGCCCCGTGGGGGTGCCCCATGCTGCTGCTGGGCAGGAGCAGGCCAAGTCCATCACCGTGTTTGAGCAGGTGAGACCGATGCGCTGTAAAGACATACCTGTGTGTGGGGTGTGAGTGCCTCCTACGCTTCGTCCAGCCCTGTGCTGTTGCATGGTTGATGTTCCTGGAAACGCTGGGATACTTAGAGTAAATGAAATGCTGCCTCCGGAGCTGGAGCAGAGCAGGGAAAGCCCGAGGCGGCAGCAAGAGCTGTAGCCGTGGGGTGATGGACGTGTGTTGCAGGGTATTGCGGTGCACGTGCTCCTGGGGCCACTTGTCCCTCTCGGGTTATTCAGTGGATGCGTTGGGTGCCCAGGGGTGTCGCTTCTGTAAGCGTGGTCGGATGCTGCAAGTCAAGAGAGGGTGTGTTGGCCTGAAGTTGTCTGAGGAATAGTAAAGCTCCCTTGGATACGGGCACTTTGGTTATAAGTAAAGTGGGAATGAAAAATAAAGCCCAGTGCTTAGCTTTTATTGCCTCTTCTTCATTTTGTTACAAGGGGAATGTCTTTACATCTTTATATATTTTTTTTCAAAGACACAGCGTTGTTCTAAACCCTATGATGTTAAGGCAGCCTAAAGTGTGCACACTCGGTGTAAGCAGTGATGGGAATAGCGTAAAACACTGATAAAACACTGTTTCAGCACAGACACTAACATCCCAACACCCTTCCCTGACGGAAAGTCAATGTCTGATTGCACACACAGCTGGCTACCTCTTGGTGATCTGCCTGCAAGGTAGGTGCACAGCCCGTACACAGGTGTCTGGAAGAAAACGAAATGCGACAAAATATAAATCAACGAAACACCGAGTTTCTAAAAGCGAGAGACTATTAACCAAACTACTGCCGTCACCGAAACCTCAGCGCTGAGCGCTGCCGCCTTCTCCCTGGGTGCGTCTGCTTTGGTTTGCCGCGGTCTCCTTGCAGGGCTCGTGGTAAACTGAGCGCAGGGATGGGTGTTCCTTAAAGGTGGGTGTCTGGATGGGGATGGTGGGTGTCCGGATGGG